TGTCGGGTTCCTACACCGCACTGATGATAATCAGCCTTCTCTACGGGTTCTGCTCTGGGGCTTTGACCTCCTTGGTGTTTGCTGTGGTGCCAATGATTATGGGGGTGGAGCGTATGATGGGGGGCCTTGGGCTTCTGCAGCTGATCGAGAGCAGTGCAGGACTGCTGGGTACTCCGCTGTCAGGTAGGTGTTAAAATGTATTTACTGTGAAAAATAATACTTAAAGCCACCTCATCTAACTCAGGTGACCAACAGGTCCATGGGTAGAAAGCATAAAGTCCTCAGTGATTCAAATTGGAAAGAAAAAAAAGATTGTTTATAACATCATTAGCTACCATTAGCCTTTTCCTGAAAGAGACACAAGTAAAAACTGAAACACCTATGTAGATCTTTATTTCTGTGCAAAAGAAAAACATAAAGAAAACACTAATTTAAATAGCAGTAGAATTGACGGCTCCTTGCAAATCTGTAAGGGCACTTAAGGCAAAGCAGAAGTGCATCGGCAGTTGACATAATAAGTGCAGTCCAATTGGGCAGGCACTAAGGAAGGTGGTAGGAAAATGAAATAGGATGCTTATTATCAATAGTTCAGTTTGCATGGGAACAGCCAGACATTCCTATCCTTTGCATAGGAGCTCTACAGTTGCCTAACTCCTTTGTGTTACAGGATATACAGGCACAACTCACCTCTGGTAGTTGAACAAAAACACATGTCATGACATGCACTCTGTGCGGCACCTGTGAATGTGCACATTCTGATATATTTTGAGTTTTAAACCAGAGAGCATCTGTCTTTTCTTTTTGTCAATTTGGAAGGCTTGAGTTCCATCCAGCAGCAGCTCAGCTGTCAGGCCAACAGTTACCAGGGGTTTCTTCATCTCAGGCTCACAGCAGGGGTCCTTCTCATCCAGTCTGGCTCTATAAGTTCTGGAACTCAAGAGAAATGTGTTGGAAACAGTCTGTTTTGCAGCAGTTTGGTTCTGAAAGGTCACCATGATGGTCCTTGATGATTCTGGAGATCTGGGTCCCCTGGGGCCCAGGTCTCCAGTGTGGTGGAAAACCAGTAAACCTGCACCCCAGGCAGGAGCGAAGGGAAAAGAGAGCCATCCTGTGTGTGTTCTGTGGTTTTCTTGTCCTCATATAAAGTGGGGTGATTTGTCACATCTCTGTGGGAGTTACCATGTGACTTGCCTGTGACTGCTTTGGCTGAAAAGGGGGGGGGGGGGTCGTTGAGATTTTGTAGCTATTTGTGAGCCAAACTAGTATCCTCTTCTCTGGTCATCATGCCAATAGTAAATATAGACACTGGTTCCCAATGTCCAAAAACCATTATCATGGCATATGGCACAACACTGGGAGATTTCTCAAGGCCATACTAGGATCTGGGATTATATCCTGATTCATATGTGATTATTTACCTGAACAGTTTTCTTAATTAAACTGTGATTGTTTATTGATTAAGGATTAACAGTGATAGGTCATTTAGCAAGCACTTATAACAAGAAGAAAGTCTGAATTCCCCCACTTAATGTTCTTGATTGCATCAAGTGAAACACTTCTTAGGGATATATTATGGTGAGAAGCATCGTTAGATAGTAGGTACAGTTGCTAGTGTGACAGCAGGAAGATCCTCGATTTGAATCTTAATTATTGTGTTTGGCGTTTGGATTAGAGTCCAAACTATGCTATGTGCTTGTATTATTTTCCCTTGTGATGCACTGAGGTTCTGTTCAGGATGCACCCAATAACCTTTGGAGACAGGTGCTTGTTGATATTTAGTTTAAACTGAAATCAACATGATTAAATCAATATGACTGGTTATTATCTAAAAATAAGCAATGTATGCAGTTTATTTCCAATCTGAGTTTGTACCATTAAAAGAAAAAAGTTAAATAAGCTCTTATAAAACTGCTGAGAGGTCAAATTTCCAGCCATTGTTTTGTTCAATGAGCAATAAAAAATGTTTTTTCCCCCTTGTTTTTCTAAGGATCATTCCTCTAGACATTACCAAATGATGTATGTATATTTTTGAGCCTTTACTCATAGGGAGGATCCTGTGTGGAATAGAGATCATTTACAATGAGTTTAAACTGATGGGCCTAAATATTCTTTTGAAATCATTTGTAGAATTGCTTTTAAATCATTCCACCCTGAAAAACAAAAGCTTATATCAATGATTACCAGCTTCATCTACTGCACTTTCGGATTATTTTTGCCTTTTCATCCTCTTTGCTCACAGGTTGGCTCAGAGACGTCACAGGAAACTACGTCGCCTCCTTCATGGTGGCTGGCTCCTTCGTGCTCCTCGGCAGCCTGACCATGACCACGCTGCCTGGCTATTTCTCCTGCACGGATCCACCACCTCCTCAAAGACCCACCCTCATTGAAAACAGTGAAACTTTGCACTTAGAGCTGGGACCGAAGAACAGCTACTCCTCTGAGTTCAACCATCAAGCCGTGGAACAAACAGCGAGGTGAAATGACCAGGGGAGATCTTTCCGTTTGCAAAAGTCAGCTGAGTGTTTTACAATAATATGTCAGAGGTTCAGTTCGAAAGGGGCAAGTAAAAGACAAGTGGAGAAAAAAAAGCAATGCACCTCATCTAATGTGCATTTTTATGCTACTTGACAAAAATATTAGGATGCATCAAAATATGTAATTTTGAAATACAGCTAGGGAATAAGTATTGAAACACTTTAGTATCTGTCTCAGTAAATACCTTTCAAATGAGGTAATTATCTTATTATTAACGGACCAAGCGCATGTCTAGCTTTATCCTTTTTTCAGTTATGCAGTGTACCACATGCTGTAAAAAAAAAAGCCCTTAGAACACCACATTCCCACTTACAAACTTGTGATTTTAGGGAAGTGTGCAGCTAAATTTCTCCTCTAAACATGGGGTAAGCATAGTTCGAGGAAGAATATACTGTCCCATACTTAAAGGCTTTATGACAAGTTTTGTTATGCTTTTCTTCAGCAGTGGAGTCTTGCAGACAGAGTCCATAGTGGCCAGTTGAAAAAAAGAAATAGTTTTTATACTATTCCAGGTATTTCTGAACTCTCCTGGTGATTATTTTCTCTCTTATCCCTCACCGGATTATTTTGATTCCTTTTGTGGAAATCTTGAAGGATGCCCTGGCCATGGCTGTTTTAAATAGACTACCATATGTTGTTCCCACTTCCAGATAATGCCTGCCGAGTGGGAACATTTTTACGTAATTGTACTGTTTTACAGTAGCTTTACAGTAATTTTATTTTATATGAACATGTCAATTACTCAGCCTTATGTACAAATAAGCAGTACAGGTAAAATTTAAGTTGATACCAACATTTCCTAAGAATATCATGCCAGTGGCCTCATGGGGAATATTTTTTCTGATAGAAACCATCATATGTTTAACACACAAATCTTTCAAAGCAGTAATTTGAAATTTTCTTTTGACATAATCTATCCTTTTGTTGTCTAATGATGATTAAGACATAAAATCCTGCCTGTATGTAAGGCTGGATAATAGATCTGACCTTCAACTATGTAAATTTAATGAGATTTTCTTTTGAGAAATCAATCTAAAGTATGCATTTTTATTCATTTTAATTATTGATTTGATTTAAATATAAATCAGATGGTACAGAATTAGCTCTATGAAGAGATTAAAGGTCCTCAACATATCCAGTCTGCGTTGTTATACCTCTGGGAGACAGCAGCTCAGGTTTAGTTTTTTTTTTAGATTGTTACTTGATACTTTCTTAAATAAAAAAAGGTTTTTATACGGTACATATTAAACCTTGGCCTGACAGAAGTTCCCCCCCTTAGCTAACACTTTATTACCAAGTCATGCGGATGAATGTCTTTTAATGAGGTGAAGTTCTTTCTCCTTGTAGGGGAAAGAACTCTACTGACTCTGATTTATTATGAGGAACAAAGATCTACACCAATCAGAGTCATGACTATCCTTAAATCACTGCACTGCAGGAGCACAATACTCTTGTTTTCTCAAGTGCACGTTCTGATGACCCTCTTATTTTGTTTGCACGTGTCCAGCGAACCTCTGTAAACCATAAACCGAGGATGCCTTTGTAACACTAGAGATGTTTGGCCTCGGGAACAGCTGGGTGAACATTGGGGTCACAATGAACTGCTGGTTACTGACACACTCACTGGAGGGTTGGTGCAATGAAAGAGAGCCCTGGATAATACTGGGGACTATTTGGAGCTAAAAATGTTTTCTTAACCAGATTATTTTTATTAAACACAAATGATGACCTTTTATTTTTTTTCATATTAAGCACTCAAAACTGCTGCAAACTATCATACGTCACAAATAATAGGTCATCTTAGTGAATTTCAATTACACCACACTGTGCATGTCCCAGCTCTGATCGTTGCCGCCCTCTAGTGGACTTGTATGAGAAAAGCGATAGCACTAAAACATTACTGTTTTATTTTGTCAAATTTAAAGTTGCTCACATCATGTAGACAAAATATACATAAATATTGTCTTTTGTAATGGAGAAGTCTGCCAACAGTAAAAATTTGATGGTATTTTATTGAAATAAAACATTTTTTTGCAACATTTGTCTCTTTGTAACATGCATTTTAAAAAGTCAGTATTAATGGAGAACAATAACGTCATAAAAAAAAAACACAGGAAGCCCATTTTGATAAAAAACAAAAAAACTAAGAGGAAAGGAATCAGATTTACTGCTTTTAATTAGGAAACCTTAGCAGAGTGATGGCGCCGCTCAGCGGGACATCAAAACACCTCACGCTGGACTCATAAAGCTGCTCCTGTGTTTCCACATGGATGCGATTGTTCTAAGATGACGTGATCACACAATGCATTCCCTGTTTAGAGCATCCATACCCCCCCCCCGGCTCTGCAGTCGACACCCACATGAGCTCGACACTTGGAGGTAGCCAATGATGATGGATGTGTCTGCATGCCTTGGAGCTCCATCCTTTCTGCTTTTGTGGAAAAGAAAGTGTTTGCTTGGGTTGAGGGCTGTAAAAGTTAGACCTGGACCGAATGACGGAAAGGCCCGATGGGGGGTCGGGTGTAGGGCATTTAAGATTTAGGATCCGCACTGCGGCGTTTGAGCTTCTCTGGATTATTAGAGGCCATGTGTGAAAAGTCTCTGAAAATGTCCTGGTAAGTTTCATCACCTGGAAGATACCAAAGAACAAGACATCAGCCTCAAAGCTTAATACTGGACATCTCTTCAGGGCTGCAGTAAAATTATTCATACCCCCCAAAATGTCTCATTTTGCTACAACAACAAAGGACTTATTGGTTTTGTAAGGATTTAAGGTGATAAACCAACTACAAGTAGTGCATAACCATAAAATGGAGGGAAAATTGACAGTTTTTTTGCTAATTAAAATAAAATGTTTTTTTTTTTTTTTTGTATCCACCATCTTTTTACTCTAACACTTGAAAATACTTAACTTAAACATGAGGACCAAAGCTCACAACAGACAGGTCGGGGATTAAGTTTACAGCAGAGGCAGATTACAAGAAAAAAATTAAAAAATTTAAATATCGTACGGATTTCTGTTCATTATTCATCATTCCAAATGAAAAGAGTTAGACACAGCTACAAAACTACGACGACCATAGATATACAACCAAGTGGTTCAAAGTCCAAACCTAAATCCAACTGAAACATTTGTTAGAAGACTTGTGAGAAGTTTTTCCACAACCATTCTCTCCAGTTACCCTGAACTAGAGCTGTTTGCAGTGCACAAAGACTTAAATACATATTTTTTTAATGTATTTATGTACACTCGGTAGAGCTGTGTACTGTTGAATATTTGTAGCTGGAAAACAATCTGCTATGGTGAGTTGAATAGTAATGGGTACTCCACTTTTAGATCTTTATTTTTCAAGAAAGAAAGAAAATGTTATACTGTTCTCTTTTCCTTCCACCTCAACTAAGCACAGGTTTTTGTTGGTTTGTTTCATTATGATTTGAACGTTGGTAACATGTGGAAAAGTATAGGGTATGAATACTTTTGCCTCACCCTTTTTAATATATCACTTCATTGTATTTAGAACAGTTTTTTTTCACAAAACGAACAAACAAGCAAACAAAAACAAAAAAGCTACATAGAGGGGATCAGGATGTGTTTAGTTACAGAAACCCAGCGACAAACTGAACCCGTTAAATGAGCAGAGGCCATGAAGCATAACGCATGCAGCGGAGCAAACTGACACACACAATATGGCATGCACATGCAATTTACCTCTTAGATTGCTGTAGGTGACACACTGCGCAAGCAGTTGAGACCAGACGGGCATCTCAGCGGGGCGAGGAGAGCACACAACAAAGACAGACAGTAAAAAAGCAGAGCACTTCAAAAACTGACCAGCAGACAAACACGTTTCCGTTCCTCCATGCCAAACACCCTCCCACCCCCAGACTAATTCCCATTGGAAACTTAAGGCCGGTTAACAACACTGACCCCAGATCAGTCTTGGAAGAGGAGACTGTGGAGCTTCAACAAGAGACAAAACATCGCCTTGAACCTGACTAACAGTAGCTAATAAATACATTAAATATAACAGCTTCAACCAGGCCACTATTCACAGAATAGCGGGGAAACAATTACCAGTGAGCTCAAAACCCCACCCTGAATTTAGCTTAAATAACTGGAAGTACAGCCATGCACATATATAGAAAGTAAATAGGTTGTATCCAAACTCATTGGAAAAGGCTTGTTATACAATATGCAACAGTAACAAGTACAAAAACATATTATTTTTTAGTCACCTTTTTCAAAGTGCCGATGTGCATTTGCAGTGAATATAAACATTGCATGCACCAATTAAACAACGCCAGGTTTGCGCGATTCATTTGAAAAATGTTGAAAAAATCTCCTGATGTGCAACCGAACCAATAAGGCAGTGTTTTTGATGGGGGATATGTAGAAATAAAATGAAAGCTTGTTGGAGCAGCCTTTGATTTTGTTATTTTGCTGTCTAATCCTATAACATGAAGCAGCCCCTGTTGAGTTTGGCTTTGTTCTGTTGATTCTCAGTCTCATCATAGTATCACATGCCCTTTAGCATCACGGACCAAAAGTTGAAGTTTAGTTTCATTTTCTTCCAAAATATTTTAGCCAAGATTGGATGCTGTATTTAGAGGAAAATGAATCTGATTTTTTTTTTTTTATGGCCTTTTTCTCCCACTGAACGATGGCAACTAGCTGATGTCCAGTAAATCAGCGCGGCTTAAGCTAATTACAAATTGCTATGCCAAATTTATAGGCATGACCAAAAGAAAACAGGATGCTGGATCTCAGCAAAGTGTTACACACTTTTGCAAACAGGTTACTTCAGCTATTTTTTTGCACATTGTGTCCCTCTGATAGATATGATTGTGTTTTAGTTAAGGTGATTAGATCACCTTAAAGGTGGAAAAGTTTTAAAAGAATTCATCACTGCATTTAAATCACAGAAACCTGACATTGTAAAAGAGGTGCGAACACGATTCACAGTTTAATTCAAAGTGCACCTGGAGCTTCAGTATGGATTCATCTTTTTTTTAAGTTTCTTATATTTCTTTTTATTTCTATGACTGTTGTAGAATAAATTGTGAAAATTCAGTTATCTGGGAAGCTATTATTCAGGTTTTAAGGTCTGATTTCAGCTCTGCTAATCGTTCCACCCCTCCTAAAGCCCAGTCGCTTATTTGATTCATTTTGGCCTGAATCCTTTTCTTAGTGTGCACCCGGCCCCCTTTGGCCCCACCCGCCACCCCACCGCTTTCCTGCCCCTCTGAGTTCGGACCTGATGGGCCGAATGCTCCGTCCATATCCCGCATCTCTTTGTTCATTTTGGCGATCCTCAGCCTGAGAAGTAAGAGAGGAGACGGTCAGAACAATGTCTGTTTCTGCAGGATCAGGGAGTTTCTATTAACACGAGAGCTTACAGAGTGACAATGTCTGCGTTTGCGTTGTCCACGGCGATGGTTATGGGGTCTTTGTCGTTCTTGTCTCGGGCGTTGTAGTCAGCTCCTCGTTTTAAGAACAAGCAAACCAACCTGGATCAGAAAAGCAGAGAAGGTTACAGTTCAATCTATACTTTTTTGCAGTTGATGCTGTTAGTACAGTTTTCTCTTTTCTGCGCCTTTGTGCTCAGAAAAGGTTTTCAGTTTTAATAGGGCAGAAATTAAAAGAGGATTTATGATTCTTCATCTTGTTCCTGAATTTGAGTCCTGTAGAAAAAATGAATTAAAAATTTTTTTTTTTTCCTGCATTGTTTTGAACTATTGCTGACAGACCTGATAAATGATCTGTGCTACAAAAACTATTAGCAGGTCATTCATGTCCTTGTCAGGGTATCTTCAGACTGGTTTGATCGGCAAACTTGGAGTACGAATTAAACCCAAAACAGTAGATAAGTTAGCCTATATAGCTTTCTGTTAAACAAATAACAAATTTTAAGATTTATGTTATTTGATTGCATACAAAATTCAATCTCCTTTTTTTTTTAGATCACATTAACATAAACCTATTAACTAAACCTTACATGATGGAAATTCATTTGTTTTAAATAGCTTATTTAGTTTAAATACATAATCATCAGTTTTATTATTTTCTTTCAGCTCTTATTGTCATTACGCTGTCACAAGAACAGAGCAACGAAATGAACTCTCCGCATTTAACCCATCCCCTTGGAGAGCAGTGGGTTCACCAGAGGAGCAGTGTGGGGTTAAGGGTTTTGCTCAGAGACCAAGAGAGGCAGTCTTGGCTTGGCTTAGCTACATTGGGACTTTCAATGCGCATTGGTCAAATGAGTGTAACATGGAACTTCCTAGCAAAAAAACAAAAAACAAAGACTTTTACTTGGGTTCTCTGTGAAAAGTATGGCAGAGGACCTATGATGCTGTGGGTCCAACCACACAACCAAGAAACCCTTGGGGTAAATCAGATGCAAATAATCAAACATGCTACTAGTGTTCTTTTATTTTTTTATTTAACCTTCATCTTACCAGGAAAGCCTAATTTAAAATCTATTTTCCAATAGAGGACAGCAGCAAAGCACAGTGGTTTTAAACAACCATTCACCCAGATTCAATTCTAAAACATTGGAAAACAGTAAAAACATTTTTGTTCCCCAAAACATTTTGTACATATATGTCTGAAATATGGTGGTTTATACCATGCCTAGAAAGAGATAGCAGTAAAAATATGCAATGTGTATGAAATACCTTTATCGTGTCACTGAAACTGGGTTACTGTGGAAAGATGGAGGAAGTGATGTGTTTTTCTACAACAGGAACTGCTATCTAATACAATCTACAGAACAGTGTTTAAATAGGAAATTTCAGCCTCCATGTCTATGACTGATTAGCCTGTCTAAGCTAACCCACAAGAGGAACCTTGCAAATATTAAAATTGCAGAAGAGCGCTGCAATGAAACCCAGAATTTCAAATGATGGTTTTAAATTTTTAGGACATTTAATCAGCTGTTGGCCAGTGATAACCTGCTTTGAAAGAATAAATTAAAGTGGGAAAATGTATAAAGGCATCTCTCTGAGATGTTTGAGATGTTGTTCAGCTTGTTTCACCCCACATCATCTCAACGACATCTAGATCTGGTCTTTGACTAGGCCACGATTTTCCTTTTTCTTCCTCTTATATGCAGTAGACTTCATGCTGATTTTTTTTAGAGTGAGATGGCAAAGTCCTGCTGCAGCAAAGCATCCCCAAACCATGACACATCCACCTCCATGCTTCCCAGTCAGTGTGAGTGTGAGTTTTCCTCCTTCTATGCTGCAGTCAGTTTATATATGCACCAATTCTTCTTTTCTGTTGACCAAATAATGGCCTGTTTGTACATCAGGTAGACAAACTAACTTGGCATGGAAACATGCAGTCCTGACTCTGACCCACATGTGCAAACGTTTTACGAGGAATGGGAAAACAGGCTACACTGATGGTGAGATGATGAATCTAAGCTAGATTAAGTCCTCTCAGACGTTCACAATCATTTAATATAAAACATTAATCATCAACATCATCATAAGTAAGGCTGTTTTAAAATAATCCATTTTCCTTTTCTTACCTATTATTATTTAATTTCAAAAGATCAATTCATATAATCAAAGTTTGATCTTTAAATAATATACTTGTTCCACTGTAAAGACAGTGGAAGCTGCTATTGGGTTGTAATTTTACTTATTTTACTTACTGATTTTATTCTGTGTTATTATATTATATTTTATTTTTTCTCTCTTGTATTTACAATCTTATTTTTCTCTCTTCTGTAAACTGTTGCAGTGCAAGACAAGAGGGATTATTTAAAGTAATTCTGATTCCATTACGGTAACTATTACTATATTAATTTGCTGTTGAATGGTATTATAAAATGTTGCATAACTACACAGACACTTCAATCAGGTAACAGCTAATAGAATAATGTTTCTAATACCAGCAATGCAAATTGAGATCATATCGGAATGATAAAAATACCCAGCTGTCTTATCAGAATCAATAGAGCATTGCTGTTGGATCTATGAGCTAAACGCTATTCAGTGTTGAAGAGGGCGACTCACTGGACCCACACTCTTCATCAGGAGGTTAGTGCACACTTTATGCACATTATTTGGAACATGTGTGCCTGTGACACAAGAAGATAACAACAGCAAACAAACTAAAACAAGAGGAATAGTTATGCAATAGTTACCCCTTGTAATCTCTACATGTCCAAAAAGGAGTAGAGTGAGGCCTAAGCTCATATATATAAATGCCCCTTCTATTACCTCAATGTGCAAAATCGGAAAGGTTGGTAAGGGCATTGTACTAAAAAACACAAATTAATATTGATAACCAGCATTCAATGTATATATTTGATATACATTTAACCATTATAGATATATATGGGTGAAAAAGCTATATATATCTAAGCTGCAGTTTATTAAAGATCCAAAATAATCCACAAATCTACAGAGTAATTAGGAAACATCTACAATATAAATTGAGATAACCAACAAACACTTAATCTGCCTGAAGCCACATTTAGGAACAAAATAATTTGGTGAATCTATCCAAACCAATGAGATATTACAGCCAGTACAAAGCAAAATACTGACAAATACAATCAGTCTTTGTTGCCATTTTTAACATTTCATTTGTCACTTCACTGCAGTTGTTACCAAATGTATTTATCCTTCTCTTTACCTCACTCATCAATAAATCTATTTTTACTCCAGTTAAACTACATTTATATTGTTCTACTCATTTAAACACCTAATAATATCCATGCAGTGCTCTGCATGGACCATTTCTGGCTGGACGAGGGCGTGTAGATGGCCATGAGGTGGAGCCTTGTTCACACAGGTGTGATTTATCAAGGAAAATTGCTTGCTTTTGTGACTATGAGGTTTTATAAATCTGTTATCCATATCTGTATCTGTAAGCTGTAAATGTTCATACTCTTTTAATATAAATCTCATGAAATAAATGAGACCAGTGGTTCTTTGACTAAGTCCTTTCTGGCAAACTTCAATCTGACCTTCATGGTTTTTTTTCTTGGTTTCCTTCCAGCCCACCTACATAAACTTGTTGGGTTTCTTTCCAGTTATAACTGACCACCTTTCATATCAGCAACAGCAAGATCCTGCTGCAGGTTAAAGCTGAACTTTGAATTTTTTTGGAGGCTTCCTGCAGCCTGCTCTCAGGTTGACCTCTCTTAGATGATCCCACCTGTGCAGGCTGGCATTTATCCCCCACTAGTTGTCCATTCTGACCAGTGGAATTATGGAGAAATTTATTTATTGCTAGACTTTGATGCTGCAATGTTCTTTCTAAATGGAAATGATTTTATCTGATCATGGTATTCAGTCATTTACACAGCCAAAAACTCACCCCACTGAAAGTCTGAGGTGTAAACAAGGGAACTTCCTTTACAGTACACTGCAAAAACAATCTAGAAATAAGTCAAAACTTCCTAAATTAAATGTGTTTACCCTTAATTTGAATAGGTAAAGGAAATAGTTTACCAATAGAATTAGTATTTTTACTCTAAAAATAAGATAATTAGATAAAATACACTTGAAATAAGACAATGCAATTGTGTTTCTTATTTTAAATGTAAATTGTCTTGTTCCATTGGCAAAGTGTCTCTTTTACCTCCTCAATCCAAGAACAAATGCACTTATTTTAAGAAAAAAATGTAGCATCTAGATTTGGATTTTTTTCCAGTGTACCTTCTAATGAAGCACAAGCGAAAATTCAATCTGCCTCACCTGGAATACCTGCTGATGTCCCACATCCAAGCTTCAGCAAATCAACACCAGGACTTCTCCAAAGTCAATCATCTTTCTAGATCTCCTTCATTATTCATTCTGCACAAGCCTTCGTCAAACATGGCAGCAAACTTTCACCGACCTCCACCCCCTCTCCTCCCTCATTCCCTATTATTCTCAGGCTGATTCATCCTACATTATTCCACCACCAGTGTCCGGTCCCCGGGGGAAAGGACTACTCTAATCCTTTTCCTACATTACTTATCCAAATGAATGTTGATTCACAGCATCAAGGTCTTCTGCTGTGGCCCGAGCAGCAAAAAAACTCATTTATTTCAAGTCACCTTAAATGCACCAGGGAGCGTTATCACAGATCCTTCCTCCCAGCAGCTGTAAGACTTTATAACCATCACTGTTCCCAATAACCTCAATAAGTTGTTACATTCATGCTGATTTTTGCACAGTTTCTCTCTTAGTCGCACATATATAATGTTGCTGCTATTTTTATTGATTATTTATCCTCCAGATAAACAGTATTTATATTGTAAACCACTGTACAGTACAATATAATTTTATTTGTTTATTTTCTTAAAGCCGTCACTTATTGTGTTATTTTTATACATGTTTCTGAGGTCAAAATTGTGTGATAACTTCTGCTATAACCTTTTTCTGCTGGTGTAACACCACAGTTTCCCCATTGTGGGATAAAAAGGGATTTTCTATTCTATTCTAATAAAACTTTTCTAAATGCAGCTTTTCTCTGTGGGAGTCTTTCTAGGTTGAAATGAATGGTGTCGCCACATGAGTAACTTTAGAACTCTTCCTCACAGGAAACACTTTAAATATCATACTTTATATTAAGTACTAAATGGTATTTTCTTTGTTTCTTCAAATGTTTTTTTAATACTAGTTGAAATTCTACATCTTGTTAAATCGTTTCAAATATGTGCAGATATAAAAGGATGCAAGCTTTCAGAGTGTGTCCTAATGTTTTATACTCTCTGCTGCTGATCACTAAAGAGATACTTTTTAAAGAGTCATTAAATGATTTAAAACTCAGCTATGGAGTTCATTAGGCCTTCCTAGTCAGGTTTCAGTCTCTAGCTTTCAAACTAACCTCAGGTTCAACAAACTTCCTCTCCCTATAGAAGCTGTTTCCCTGCTTTATAGTTTACAAAGTTTCTTCCTCCTAGTTTGAAACTGAAAACAATGAATACAGTTTAAAACGACTACATTTAGACAGTTTAACAGCATTATCGTGTTTTAACATCGGTATCAGTTCTATGAGTAAAAATGTGATGTATATTTGTGACACATGAGACTGATGGTGATGCAGGGATGTTCAACTAAAGCCATGATAGTGATATGAACATCAGATATCACTATTGGCCAAGTTATCAGATCAGTGCATCCCTGGTTACATTTTAACAATGCACCTGCAGAGTTTAGGAAAACTGGGTTCCATCAATAATCTAGACTTTTTTTAATGATATGTGGGAGTGCGTTGTCGTACCCTGTGTGGCCCAGGATGGTGGCGTGGTGCAGTGGTCCTCTTTTGTTGCTGTCTGCCAGGTTGACATTGGCGCCGTTCTGCAGTAGGAACTCACAGGCTGCCAGGGCGTTCTGCTCAAAACAACAAGGAAAGATGATGATGATACTTTATTTCAGACAGACATTTCACTAGTAGAACGTAATAAAGATGAGAAAGACTTTCTGTTAATATGAAAAAAGTTTGTTTTTCATGTTAAAACATATTTATGCCTTTGATTATTTGGATTTTTTTAATTCCCATGGTATTGAAAATGGTATCGAGTATCAAGTATTTTCCTGGGTATCGATATCCATTTTGAAAATGTATTCTATTTGCAACCCTACATTGAATGGTAAAGAGTTCTAGATTTATGAAGCTGAACACACGCGGTGAGCCTGATGAAGTAATGAAGCAGGGCTGCTTAGATGCTGACTCCCTAACAAGCTTTTACAGCCAGGTTTAATCTCAGAAGTTTTCAGCAGGATGCAAACGGTGGGGAAGTTCATCGTGACAGATGGAGACAGATGGAGACTGCATGATCCCCTGCATGTGATTGCATGCTGCTGCTGGGAAGGAATGATGCTCAGCCTCCACCTGAAACTTCTACTTTTATTTTATCTGTTTTACAGAAAGTTATTAAGTTAGTGGACTTAGATGAATTACATCCCAAATCAGTTGTTGGACTGTTGATCTAACCCTGAGATTATCTCTAAAGGTGCCTGTGGTGCAGACGAGGAGGCAGCCAAACTTTTCTAATATCTAATATTTATTTTTCATTATTTAAAAATAAATAGGAAATATATATATTTTTTTTATCTGCTGGCAACTATACACTAAAGAACTACTTGTCTTTCTATGGCTTTTTTCTTGTCTTTCCCCATTTGAACAGAGCCTGACAGAAGTGACGTGCACAAGGTAAAACAAGAGTCGATCATGGAAAGGAGTTTGTTCAGTGCAGGCTGAAAGAAGAAGCCGGATGTAAAACCGTTTCTCTTTTCTCAACTTTATTATTAGATTGGTAAGTTAACACTTTGCTCCAGGTATGCAGTCATATATCCTTTTTATTTTTTTCTATGTTTAGTAGAAGCAAATTAAGGCAGTTACAGGTCTAGCCGCCATAGTGACCAAAGGTTATACAGTGTGCATTTAAAGGCTCTAATAAAATATTTGCTCTAAAATGTGATTTCTTTTCAGTTTTTTTATGGAATTTTTCCAGTTTAAAGATTTTTTTTAAGTCTGACACTTAGTCTTTTGTCCTTAACCTGTCCATCTTTCCTAAAAGTTCTCTATAGACCTATATACATCCTTCAGAACTGTTAGCAAAGACTATTTCTAAAGGTTAAAGCAAAGTATGTCCCTTCAGAAAGAAATTAAAACAAACAGATGCTTTCAAGATGGGAACTTCGCTGTGATTCTGTTTGAGTTGATGTTTTTCTTAAAACTTCACACCATGTGACCTTTTCGATCAGAGAACCCTCAGCACCCATAACCTCACCAGGACTGAACACCATCATTGGTATAAAGTGAACAGAGGGTTGTCCTTACCACCGACACGGCCTGTATCAGAGGTGTGCTCGACTCCTCGGCCGCATTTACCCAGTTGACGTCAGCCCCATGGGCGAGCGCGTCAGCCATGACGGGGAAGTTCTGCAGCGCTGCAGAGCGGTACAACAATGCCCCGGGGTGAAGGCCGCTGAGATCCTCTTCTTCATCTTCTTCCCAATCTAAGCACAGCAGGAGGTACTTTTATATATCTACATTTTATTACATTTAGAAAATTGTGTTGTCACATTTGGGTGAATTGTGTTTGATCCTACCTCTATGAGAGTTGTTCTTCTGAATGTCACTGGGGCTGAGATCTGAGGAGAGGCGAACAGATAAAGTGAAACTGGGCTTTTCTATCTGCTGCTGCAACACACATAAAACTGAGATAGAGCTGAGCAGTTAATTAAATTTGCAAAATAATCACAATTTGACAAAAACGCAGGATTGATACGCCCACTTTCTCACTTCTGCTCTTTAGGTGGCCGTAATATCCTGAAAGTGGGTTTGACACCACGGAGCTGCATGCATATGAGTAGAGATAAGCACTTCACCAAAAGCCACAGTACAGTCCTGCAACATGGAGTCTGGACAAGCAAGCGTTGAAGTTTATGAAAACAATGAAACCCTGAAGTGAAACATCTACATACTTGCGGTTATGGAAAAATCAAAGTAAAATCATAATGTTGAATGAAGAAAAAAACACTAAACAAATATTGATTTTTGGAAAATTGCTCTACCCAATTGGGAAAAACACTGAATCAGCAGGCGCACAGATCAATGTTGTAACTATGTCATTAACCGCCTAAGCTAATTACGAGAGGTGCAGCATCTAGGAAAAGTATTCACGCCCTCTGGTACCACATACTTCAAAGTAATTGGAAGATACATTGGAACAACACAAAAAAATGACGTGCAATACCGATTCCATTTTTTGAATGAATGATAAGGTTTTCCATATTTTCCATACATGTTTTTATTTATAGATTTTTAATACATATTTTTTTGCCAGGTCTAAATTTACATTAAAGGTATAGTGGAGGATGTTCTTTTTTCCCGGAGGATCATCAAAATAAGTGGTCCTCCTAATTGCCAATCATTTTGGTGATATGTTTACCTGAGTCCGTCCTACGTGCTCGTCCCCATTTTCACTAATCAGTGGTGAGTCTAACATAGTGGAAATATTACAAATATCTTTTTTGGAAACTAAGCTTGCATGGGTGATGCAAACAGCAACTTTTAAACAGAGCGTGCACGAGGAGAAATGGGTTCGTGCGCGCTATTTGTACATGTTTGTAGGAGTAGGAGCAGGTATAGGGTTGTGCATGTAAATTTTTTTTTTTAAGTTGGGGTGGGCGGGTCTTTACAGAAATTCAAGAAAATCAAACCCCTGCCCCACCAAAGCACACCCCGACCTGAGCAGATCCGGTATCTACACCAGAGGCACCATCCGTACTATCTGCGCATGAGCAAGCAGATATTCCAATCCATGTTGCCATGAATATTGTAATTATGTTACTGAAAGACATCATTTTCATCCTTCAATCATCAATGAATACTAAAATACATCTTATAAAAATGTGTTGCTTGTCTGACGTCATCATCTCATATGCTCAGAGCAGTCTGGCAAAATAATATTACTTTGTATACACATTTTAGCTGTGTATTTTTCAGATCATACACTATATACAATGAAAGGCAAATACAAAAACTCCAAATGGGCTCTATGCACAACGCCACTACTTCCTGAACTTAAGGCAGCTCCTCTGTTTCCTGCCTTTCATTACTTGATGAACTGTTTAATCCAGGTGTGTCTGGCTGTGGTTACTGAGGTCAGGCACACCTGGATTAATCAGTTCATTCAGTAGAAAAAGACAGGGAACAAAAGAGCTTAACTTCAGGAGGTAGTGTTGCATATAGAGCCCATTACGACATGTATTTACAAATCCAAAGCCAAAATGATTAGCTGCTGAAAGTAGCAAAGGATCCTATTTCTGGGACAGATCAGACACAGATCAGTGATATAACAGAAAGGATATAAAATGCATTTATTCTCTCAGAAAAAAAAAGAAGTATTTTACAGATTATAGTTTATTAAGGTTTTTATAATTATTTTGTCAGTGAGCCCCAGCGTAGCGGTGGCTACAATGTGGCTTGTAACCATCAGAGTGTGCTTGTATGACTGAATGTAGTTTATAGCACTTTGGTCAAGTCTCCTGACTTGAAAAAGTGCTATTTAAGTACAAGCCAATTACCGCAATTAGGGAAAGTAAAACGTGATTTTGGTCTTTTTCTTATGAAGCACAATAAATTGTGACCCAGATTCTGATGGTATGGATCGTGCTACCAGTATCGATCAGATAGTGTCACCCTTTTCATTCTAGCTGTATCTAGTAATGTTATCAAAGCATCTTTATACTCATAGATGTGTTCTTACAGAGTTAAAAATTGTTTAATTGAAGGCATAATTATACAAATTATTTTAAGACAGTCCTAAATGTGTTCTGACAGCAGTAAGCTCTAAAACTGAGCAATTTTAAATTTACAACTTTGTATGAGCTAAGCTAACCTTAGCTTCACTGTATGAGGAAAGAGACGCAGTTTCTGAATTCATAAGAACGTGAGTACGGACTCGTGTCTTCGCCAGGTATGCTCATGAGAAGAACACAGGAAAGTCTGGACTTGGGAAGAACAGGAGCATGCAGCAGAAATATGGGTCATTTGGAACAGCAGCGTACACGTGACGTCGCCACACGCTTGGCTCGTTTGGAGCTGCATTTCACCTCCTTTTATTAATAGTCTCTAGAACAGGGGTCTTCAACGTTTTCCAGGCCAGGGACCCCAAAACTGATGCCAAGATGGAGCGGGGACCCCCTATTTATATATATTGAATTAAATTGTGATATATCAAACTGGTCCAATAGTCACTCTATTACATATGGAGTCATGTAACAAAAGTAATTTCTCCCTTTGATTATTAAAGTATTTCTGATTCTGATTGCTGGTTGATGGGACAGGTGTTGTCAATGAAACGGTGCCCAGCTTGAAAGAGCTCCTGTGTGTCGCTGAATGTGTGCATTGATGACTGAAAGACATCTTCTGACTCCATTTATCTGTTTACTACAGTGGGTTGAATTAATGTTAATGTGGATTTAAAGACATTTTAATTTGTGGAAAAAATTGCAGGGGGAATAAAAAAAATAAAAAAGTCTAATCAACCAAAACTTTCGCGACCCTTATGCATTACCTCTGTGGACCCCCTAGGGGTCACGGACCCCCTGTTGAAGACCTCCGCTCTAGATAATAAAAACTTCTTACTTTTTTCATTTAGTGGGGGAATAATAATAAACAAAGTCAGATAAACAAAGATTAAATAAATATTTTGCCATATAGATAAAAAAAATCGCCTTCACACACGGCTATGTAGAGAAAGGGTGGCTGCAGACGGGCTAAAATTAGCCCAGGCTGCGGTTAGACTGGGAGGTCTGCTAGTTGCAACAGTCCTCTCAACAGTGGAATATTTTTTATTACGTAGTTAATCAGTAAATGGGCCATATAGTGACGCTTAAAAGTATGCCTTCTCACCTCAAATGATCTTAAAATGATCTTTTATAGAACAACAGCAACAGAAAGGAGAACTTTTAACTTAATACTGAGCGCTCCACTGGAAGCTGCTGCTTCTGCGGTGCGATAAATAAATACATTTTTTTAAATCAAACCGCTCATATTAGTCTTTACCAAAATTCTGACTTCATAAATATTGTTTATCACTATTTAGCTTAAAAATATAAAGATATCCTTTTGGTTTATACTGCCAGACCCAATTAAGCGTCCTATATAAATAAAGTTTTACATACCTTCTTACCTACCATGCATTAGCCTACTTTAGGAATCTTTATTTGTATATTTTGCATGTAAATTAATAAAAACATGGAAAAGTTACAGGTGAATGGTGACCTACACATGCATGCATAATAACCATCAGGAGCGTTAATTTACTTGTGAGTCGAGGCAGCGTGGCTCGGTTCGGCTTGGGTTTGAGAGCTGGCCTCTGAACGTTGCGTTCCTGAGTTGTGGCTCGGGTTCTCCTGGCGCTGGACCGCCTCAAAAGGTTGGTTCTGCCAGTCTCAGGCAACTTCTGGATAAACTTCTTCTCAACGTACTTGGACCTAATCCATGACTCCTTGTCACCTCTGGGGGGGAGAGAAGAATGAGATTTGTTCAGGTCTGATTGAGGACTGCGGACTGAAATGTCTCTTTGTTAATTAAGGATCACCTTTATCTTACCAATATAGCCTTAACCTCTCAGTCTGTGTGTTTAAAAAAAACCCTGCAGCGTTAAAACACATTTCCGGACAAAACAACCTCAACTATCTGTATGAAATACCTGTGACTTCCTGTGTTCTGCAATGCGAAGCGGCAAAGGGACGAGGAAGTTGAAGAAAGTTTAGAATTAGTTGCTCTCAGCTGATAACACATTACTAAACCACTAAGATGTTTAAAAGAGCATTCCTATTTAAAACACATCATCTGTGCAGCTGATTGTTTCAATGAATGACCTTCTTAAACAGCAGGATAAAGTAAAACTTCACCAAAAAAGGCCTGAAATATCACAGCAGACATAAATGAGTTAGATTAGGAGGGAAAAGAAATAATGCAAAGAAAAAGAAAGAACAGGAAATAATAGTTGCATGATTGTTTTAGCAATACTATACATCCAATTTTCATGCAGTAGTCAAATAATAAAAATATTCAGCAGTGCCTTGCCACACCTGTAGATCCTCCCTACTACTGGCATCTTTTGAGGCCTAATTAATATTTAACTTGCTTCTACAAAAATTTAAATAATGAAACTAGAAGCTCAACAAGGTGCAGAAAAAATATGCCTTATCAGTTAATAAGTCACAGCGCAATACAATAAGGTTTATTTCCGGATAACCTCACTCAGTACGTCAAAATACTGGATATTTTAAAGAGTGATCTAAATACCTAAAGGAGTTGTATTGCTTCTTTTAAATAAGACCCAGTCACATACGCACATACAGCACTGAGTAAAAGTTAGATTCCTTTTTTTGCAGACAATAGCTCTTTTTCTACTGAAAGTCCTATAGGACTTACGTAAATACCTGTGTATTTTTTCATCAGGTAAAAAGAGTGACAGTTACTTTGTTTGCTTTCCTTTTTCACTGCTCTATTAGGCTGCAGAACTTTCATTTGGATCAGTCAACTAACATTTGGTGCAGTTTTAAACAAACTAAAGGCAAGACATCCTTTCTGAAAGAGCTTAGACCTTATCCATCCACCGATCATAAGTCGTCTTTATTTTGCCCATTTTGGATCAGAAAAATGCTTCAAAGTATAACAAAATCTGAATCTTGTATAAAAAAGAAAACAACAACAGTCAGATTTTAAATTTGCCGAGTTACAGGAATTGCAATGCAGCAGGGAAGGGTCTATCAGTTCAACACTCCCAGGTTAATCTGGAAGTCTTCCATCCAGACCACAACCTTTTATCGAGGAAAGTTTGGAAACCTTGGAAACTGAAATGAGTTTGTTGAAATTGTTGAGCACTTTCAAAATCCCTGGTAACATAACTTAGCTGAGATATGGTACTTAAACAACTTATATGGTCTTAGATATAAAACCCAGTAACTTGGTATGCAAACTGGTTCTGCAAACATTTCTGTTAGAATGTGACAAGAAGGTTCCGGGTTTGAGTCCCGGCCGGGGGTCTTTCTGCATGGAGTTTGCATGTTCTCCCTGTGCATGCATGCATGCATGGGTTCTCTCCAGGTAATCCGGCTTCCTCCCACAGTCCAAAAACATGACTGTTAGGTTCACTGGCTAAATGTGAGTGTGCATGGTTGTTTGTCCTGTTTGTCTCTGCGATAGATTGGCGACCTGTCCAGGGTGTACCCCGACTCTCACCAGTACACAGCTGGAGATAGGCACCTGCACCCCTCATGATCACAGCAGGGATAAAGCCTGACAGAAAATGGATGGATAGATTGCACATTGGAGCTAAGGGAATTAAAGCAGGGCTCTATAAATGGTTGCCAACAGGGCAATAGTTCAATTTTATAATCTTTTCTGGCTACTAAATATACCGTTGTAAGCTGTTACTGGAACCGCAGCAGAGAACTCAACGCCAACTCAAAGAATCAGTGGCTAGCATTATATTTATTACAGCATTAAATTATATTTGTTGTTTTTAGAACATTTCCTTTGCATCAAGGTCGTAGCAAGTAAAGATGACTCAAACCAATTGAAATTTTTCAGTGTTAGGGGCCAAACATACAAACTCCCATTCCTCTAAAAAAAAACATCACATACTTTTGTGCTGAAGTGAAATGTTTTGAAAGATCTTCCAGTATCCAAAGGAAAACAATGAAAGGGGGGAATACAATGATAAGATAACACCTAGAGAATCAACGTTTTTGTTGGAATCTGTTAAATTCCCAGTTAAAGTTCACGTCTTGACACTGGACCCCTCAGGCTTACCTGGCGCTGGCAGGGTGGGGCTTCTTGATGGTGATCTCATCAATCCGAGCCTCATAGATCCGGTTGATCACAGAGTTTCCCAATTCGCACATCAACTGAAAGAAGAAAGAGAAACAACAAAGTGAAATTGCTTTAAAATTATATATTATTTTTCTAACAGGAATCAAGAAAACACAATAAAGGGCTGCTGCTATCAGGTTATATTACCTTAATGAGCTCCGGTTCCCAGGAGTCAAGAGTGAGGGAGCGAACCTTGGAGAAATGTACGCCCAGGCTCCTGTTAGGAAAGGATATGTTTCAGAACAGAGAGAGATTGGTGAATTCACAAACTTCCTGAAAATTAATCTGAGCTCAGCAGATATGATTCGCCTCGATACAGAAATGTATCAACCAATAAATTGCAGTGTATGACATTTACTCATTAACCAGAGGCAGAGGGCTGAAGCAAAACAGACACGGCTGTTTAAAACACGCAAAAGGAGGCAATTTTTGTCTTTTTGGATGGGAAGATGGCTGTGTGTTCTCTTTCACTGGATTTGGTAAGAGTTTGATTTATCAGTTAACTCCACTAATTATAAAAACAAATAAAGTTGATGCTGCTGCTGTGATTGGCCAAAAAAGAATTGTACTGAATGTCCTTCCCTTTTACAGTTTGCGTTCCCAGATGAACCCATGTAGTTCAATTTCAACTCTACATGGTATCAATCTGGCTTTTGCCATGTTAGCTGGGTCTGTGCTTTCCTAGGGATCTTACTGGCCACCAGGGTACAATTTGGACCCGCCAACACGGAGATGAGCTTAAGCAATTTTCCACAAAGGTATTTTTTACTGCTTAGGGGTTGCGTCCACACAGACCCTGTGTTTTGGGATCCAATTTTTGAAACTGGGTTCCAAAGAGAAACCTTTTATAAAAGTTTTGTTTTGCTTTTCCATGCAAACTATTCTAGCATGATGAGATGGAAGCTCCCTCCCTTTCTGGAAGCCACATATGTGTCTGAATGATTTGTCTCTTTCATGTCTTTATTGACTGTTTTGGTGTGTTGCTTTGGCATGCATACTACAGCATCTTCTGTCGTGTTTAGGTAGAATAAAATAGAAGAATAGACTTCAACTGTACTGTCATTACACTGCCGCAAATACAAAGCAACAAAATTAACTCTCTGCATTTTAACCCATCCCCTTGGGAGCAGTGGGCTGCCATTGTGCGGCACCCGAGGAGCAGTGTGGGGTTAAGGGTCTTGCTCAGGGAGCCAGAGCAGCAATCCGTTAGATTCAGAACCTCTGGATTCCAAGCACAATGCGCTAACCACTAGGCCACCACTTTTCAGGGTGGGGAGTTAATGAAGATTTATTCTTAACCATTTTTATCTCCATGTGGACACATACAATAAGGATAATATATCTATATTAAATATTGTAATTGCATGGGCTGCTCAGTGGAGCAGTGGGTAGCACTACTGCCTTGTAGCAAAAATGTTCTGGGTTCGATTCCTGGCCTGCATGGAGTTTGCATGTTCTCCCTGAGCATGCGTGGGTTCTCTCCGGGTACTCCGGTTTCCTCCCACAGTCCAAAATCATGAGTGTTGGGTTAATTGGCTTCTCTAAATTCTCCTTAAGTGTGAGTGTGTGCATGGGTGGTTGTTTGCCCTGTTTGTCTCTGTGATGGACTGGCAACCTGTCCAGGCTGTACCCCGCCTCTCGCCCGTTGACAGCTGGATAAAGGCACCAGCACCCCTTGCGACCCCACTTGGATTAAGTGTGTAAGAAGATGGATGGATATTATAATTGCTCAACTTCCCAAGTCACAGGCATAAGTTCTATTTACATTTTTTTTTTCTCAAATTCTGGAGTCTGGCTGAGCCATTCCAAACATTAATATCATGTCAGAAGAAACATGTTTCTTGAAATAAAAGACGACTTTCGCTCTAAATCTGGTGCAATACAGTGTTTAGCTTAACCTTCTATGATTATTGTGCTTTAATTAGAGAGTAATATGGGAGTGTTTGACAGTTATAGAGAAAGGCAACTTCAAGAAATGTGTAGAGTAAGATATAAGCATACAGTTGTAATTCATTGTGATGGTTAGGGGCTGATAAAAAAGGGATTATATCATGCTAATAATAGTGGATTAGTTTACCTATGTTATAATGCTAATCTTTTATTAAAGTTATGCTTTGCTGAAAGCCGTATTTTACTGGATTCATGCATGTATGAGTAAGCTTCATGTATTCAGCTTTCTAAGCCCATCCTTGTCTTGGAAAAACTAGCAGCCAAGGCAAGTCTACATAGAGCTGTCATTTCCCGCCCGTCCAGAAAGCACCTACTTTGACTGTGCTGCACCTGCACTTTAAACAAACACCCACTTTCCATGATCATCGAATGCTGATGTCAGGCATAATGGAGGCAACGTGTTTTTTTTAGCATTTCATCTGTACTGTGACAGTGACTGGTCTTTTTTTAGCTAATTTCTATGACATGAAAATGTGTTTTTCAGCTGTATATCCATATAATTGACTTTACAAGGCTAAAAACAAGCATGATATTGGATCTTTAAATATTTTTTTTCCTACCTATGTATTCCTGAGCAGGTAATACACAGAGTGATTCCCAGGTTGATGGAGGCCCAAGTAGGACTAGCCTCTCCGCAGTCGCAGCACTGCTTGTTTCCTGGGATGGCCTGAATCTCCTCTAGAGCCTTAAGGCCTTCGCTCTCCTGATCCCCACTTCCTCCTCCTCCTCCACCTAAATTGCTCATGGAGACTGAGCTGCAGCGCTGTCTCTGATAAAAACACATATATAAAGCATTTAAAAAAGGGGTTCCCTTGCAACAGAAAAGGTCCAACTAAAAATACAGATCTAATAGTTAAAATTTAGATAAAGTGTGCGTGTGTGTTTTTTTTTTCTCACTGGGCTGTGGGCATCCTCTCTATGCTCCTGAAAGGCAGAGGCGATGCTGTTTTGGACAGCACTGATCCACGCTTGCTGCTCCTTCTCCGAGTCTGCTTGTAACAAACAGCATCTGTGCGCAGAAAACACAAATATGCAAACGCACCATTTTCATCTGCCCCTGAAATATTCTCAAAAAATATTTCTTCCAGTCTTCTAAATGAGGGCTATGTTAACCCACACACTTGGTGAGAATCACAGTGGCTCTAACACACGGCTCCCACGCAAACTCACTTTGACGGAGACACTACTTCAAAGCAGAATCGCCTCTCATTTTCAGTGCTGGGCTTGACTGTGCAGAGACGCAGGTCCTCCACCACAACCGTGGGCTGGTCCTGAGCGAGTTGCAGATTAGAAGAACACACCATGACAACTGTGCATGCAACAGGAGAGCACCAACATGTCTGTCTTTTTCTTTAAATCACATAAAAATGTACCTTAAATTTCTTCTGATAAACCAGCTGATTCTTCTGAATTGAAAACCAACGTCTGAGATGGATAAAAAAAAATAAAAAATTAGGAAATCATTAAAATAAACTGCAAACATGCAGATCGATATAAAAGCAGCTGCTCTGTGTGAATGATTTGATGGGAAAAGTTCTACCTGCTCCAGGTCTTGAAGGCGTTGCTAGCCCGTTTATAAAGGTAACCCTCCATCGCTATCCCATTGGCAGCATCAGCATTAAAATCCAAAACGGGGTCGTCGTACGACATGTCCTTAAAAGTTAAAGAAGGTAACAGATGAATGTCCTGCAGCATCTTCTATCCGACTCAAGACAGATTTAAGTAGACTGTCAAGAGGGTTATACCTCATATTAATGCTAAATGGCCTGTAATTATATAGCGCTTTGGTCAAGTCAGGAGACTTGACCAAAGCGCTTTACACTACATTCAGTCATTCACCTATTCACACACTGATGGTGCCAAGCTCAATTGTAGCCACAGCTGCTTTGGGACTCACTGACAGAAGAGAGGCTGCCGTAAACTAGCGCAATGTAGGTGAAGGGTATTGCCCGAGTCAGAGGGCTTGAAACGGCAACCAAAACATCAAGGCTCCTACATCCAACGCTACTGTATAGTTCTGTTCTAGTTTTAAGGGCAACAGTGGCATTGGGTTCAGAAGTTTGCCCTGCTACCAGAGGGTTGTCGGTTCAAGCCCCAGCTCCGATTGTCATTGTGTCCTTAGGCAAGACACCTAACCTGCATTGCCTACTGATGGTGGTCAGAGGGTCTGGTGGTGCCAGTGTACGGCAGCCTCATTTCTGTCAGCGAGCCCCAGAGCAGTTGTGGCTACAATATAGTTTGCCACCATCTGTGTAAGAATAGGTGAATGACTTAATGTAGTCTAAAGCACTTTGGTAAAGTCCTCTGACTTCAAAAAGCACTATATAAGTGCAGGCCATCAACCATTTATCAAGTGGGAATGCTTATGCATTCCCACTTATTGTTGTTCACTTAA